ATCCAGAACCTTTGAGAATTGTCAAGTGCAGGCCTCCAGATGAGAGAGAAAGGGGCTGAGCTAAGCATGCCCAGTTTCTTTTTCTCAATCCTGCAAAAAGATGAATCACTCCACTCTTCCCATTGAGTAAGACAAGAGGCCTGAGATGGTACTAAGTAAGAATCTCTTCACAAAGAAGCATTAATAGAAGGGAAAGGGAAAGGAAAACATTTCTCCCCAATCATGATTTCAATTATCTGTGCTTTAATCTTCTCATTTGTAAAATGGTGATAATAGAACAAAACTCATACAGTTTTGTAAGAATTAAAAAAAGTTAGTATATGTAAAGGACTTTGCTAAGTACCAATAAGTGTGGAATTTGAGAAGCAAAGCATAGGAACTTTACAGGGGGAAAGACCCCTTCAGAAAGATAATCTGATCTACTTGTGGTATTTTTTAGATTAGGAAACTGAGACTCAAGGAGATCTAGACCCTTGTCCAAGTTCCATGGCTAGTTGGATATGTATTGTTGATATATTATAGCAGAACTGCCTCTAGCGTTACTGACTGCAAGTTCATGTTCCCAATGCACAGTGAGGCCAAACAAACTGAAAAGTCAGTTTGGAGCTGAGAAAGGTTTATTGCAGGACCAAGCAAGGAGAACAGGTGGCTCATGCTCAAGAAAAACCAGAACTCCCCAATGGTTTGGTGGGGAGAAGTTTTTATAGGCAAAATTTGGGGTGAGGGCTACAGGGTGTGTGACTTTCTTCTGATTGGCTGGTGGTGAGGTTACAGGGCAGTGTTCCAGGAATCTTGTTCTCAGCCTGAAGTTACCGTCCTCTACCTGGGTGAGGGTCTGCCTGCAGAAGAACTGGAAGATATTGTTATGTATATCCCTTAAGGAGGAACCAGGACCCTGCCCCGTGGCTGCACTGTTTCTTTTTTTTTTTAATTAAAAAAAAAAATTTATTGGAGTGTAGTTGCTTTATAATATTGTGTTAGTTTATACTGTACAGCAAGTGAATCAGCTATATGTATACATATATCCCCTCTTTTTTGGATTTCCTTCTCATCTAGGTCACCACAGAACACTGAGTAGAGTTCCCTGTGTTATACAGTAGGTTCTCATTAGTTATCTATTTTATACATAGTATCAATAGTGTATATATGTCAATCCCAATCTCCCAATTCATCCCACGCCCCCCCTTGCCCCTTGGTATCCATACGTTTGATCTCTACGTCTGTGTCTCTATTTCTGCTTTGTAAATTTTGTAGAGACATGGATGGACCTAGAGACTGTCAAACAGAGTGAAGTAAGTCAGAAAGAGAAAGACAAATATCGTATATTAACGCATATATGTGGAATCTGAAAAAATTGGTACAGACGATCTTATTTATTTGCACTAATGTTTCTTGACTGCTCCTCCTTTGTTTTTGCATTCCCTCCCTTCCCCGATAAGCAACTGTTTGAGTCTGCACTTTGGAACTCAGGGAAGGTCAAGGAGGCTGAATGAAGCCTATTTCTTTCAAACAAGAAACTGGGGACATGGAAAGAATTCATAGCCAAGAGAGCCCCACAGGGTCCTGCTCCATTTCACTAGGTCCCAGGTGTTTAAGTGCCTAGTCCCGAGCTCTTTCTTTCTGCTATACCACTCTGCTGAATAGCCATCCTAAATGGCAGCAGATGGAATTGCCAGCCCTTCTCCCCACCACCGTGGATTTCCTGTTTTCAGAAGGTACACAGTCTGTTTCTACCCTCATGGAGGCTCTGTGTGCTGCCATACTCAGGCAGCAATTTATAGCCCTTGTGTTTTGCAATAAGAACAAGGTTACTATCTGGAATCAAGGTAGCTATTTTCACAATCTGCTGTGAAGTAGTTAGGCAGGTATTCTTTTGAAGGTAAATAAACACAGTCAACTACAATTATTTGATTCCATTTAGTATATTGGAAAATGTAGTAGTTTAATGATACCCTAGTGGCCTGTAATGGTTAATGCACCACAGAAAATGAATCATAAAATCCCCTTCTTACTAATAACTCTGAGACTAGTGTTATTAAAAAGGCACTAAACCCCAGGGAATCAGAGTGTTTTCACCTTCCCACCAAGTGACAATAATATTAGTTTGGATTCTCTATTCGCTGGTCATGAAAATATAGGATCTTTGGGCAGAAGGAAAACCTGTATCATATTCTGTTTGTTTGATGATAAATTCTTGCAGCATCATCTGGCACTGTTGCTATGGCAAAGAAAATGGTCCTGTAAAGGCCAGGTGATTTTCTAACTCCGTCACACCTTCCCAAATGCTAGTTCATCGTGAACTGGGGTAGTAGCTGAAGAGAGACTTCTTACTGATGGGAAGCAGCATCCCCTTCCTGTGCAGACCCAGGGGACTGGCAGGGTAGGGAAGTGCATGTGTCACTTTAGATTTACACAAACACACAAGCTGTTTGTGTTTATTGGGAAAAGGGTTTGAGTTACAAATATTCCCTGAAAACATGTGCCCAGCCTCCTGGTTTTCTGTATGATAAATACTGACAGGATGAGCTTCTTTGTCTTAATTTGCAGTTAATAGATTGCGTGCTAGTACTTGTAGTCAGAGAGACAGCTGTGCACATTTGGAACAATTCCAGGGAGAAGACCTCAAAAAGCTTGAAAATGATACCGGTGCGCAGAAGGATGCCCTGTCCTCAGTCGCCAGAAAAGTGTCTCCTCTGTAGACTTCTATATCTACACCCACGTTTCTGCCAACTTAGAGAAAGAACAAGTATCAAGGGGGCATTTTGATACCACTGCTCTTTCCTCACTTATAGACGGTGGGATTCATGTCCCTTTGGCAGGATTATCATGATATCATTATTTGAGTATTGTATATAATAAACACAAAAAACAGTAGCCAGGTATTACTATTAATGTGTGTATTTCCCATTAAGACAAATGTAAAATTAGTTTAAATTAAGAAGAATATTCCACTAATTGTTTATTGTGTATATGTATCAATTAATATACATATGTATACATGAATGTATATATATTTACATGTGTTATTTTATATATTTTTCATATATATATACATATGTACACACATATCTTACTCATAACATCAGTAAATAGATACAGTTGGAAGTCAGCATGGCTCAAGAAACACGTCACCATTTGACCAGTTTGCCTTAATTACACCGGTGTTTCTGGAATAATTATTACTCACGTCACTCACAAAAGTAACCCAGTTTGGACAATAAGTTATACGATAGTCCTAAATAAGGATCAAAAGGAAAACACTGATCTCAAAGAAATCCAAGACCAGTTACAGTCCCAATGCTGATGAATAAGGCATCCACTAGACAAGACAGCTTAAGAAATTTGTACTGGGGACACCAAAATAGTTTTTAAATGTATAATACATCTTTAGTAGCGTTTATCAAAACAAAAACAAAACAACAGACTCAGTGGTCATAAGGTTTGTCCCTAACAGTGAAAAGAATGCATATTTTTTGACAGTTTGCTCCTAGGGTTGACTTTAATAGCTGCCACTTCAAGTAGATGGTTTTAGTAGAACCGTTTAAGTAGCTGCTAGAGCCCTTTCAGTTACTGCTGCATTGAAGGTTATTTTGCCATCCAATTTTTGTCTATATTTTTTCTTCTTTAACTCCTGGTAATTTCTCTAATTCTAACAGCTTTAACATTTAGCTCCAGCACTTGGGAGTTTCGGGCTGTATTTAAAGGCTCATTTAAAACTTATCAGACCGATGGCATTAATTTATCTCTTTTATATCCCAATATAAAAAAAGAGGGAAAGCAAACTAACATTTAAGACCCAGGGGTTTTGGGTGGCAGACATAAATTACCTTATTTCAATGACTTTGCAGTTTTTTCAGGGAGGATGTTTGCTTTCTGCTTTACGTAACCTTCTAGACTTATTCTGTGCAGTTTGATTTTAAAATGCCCCTTCTGCCTCTCTTACTCCTATTTCCTCTTGGGAAGTGTTCTTTCAAGTAGGAAAATATTACTTTAGCAAATCACACTTTTAACAAGTTCTTATTAAGCAACACTGGAAGATGAGTTAAAATGGAATTTGTCCCCCCTTCAACCTGACCTGGGTATTTTGTATCTCATTCTTAGAGTAGATGCACATATACCTTTTTTACATTTTCAACTATACCTAAATAGATTAGCCTTAAATAGAAGTCTTTGTAAATGTCTTATTTCATCTCAAGCTCAATGTCAAAGTCAAAACTCTACCATTTCTTCTAAGTACTTCAAGCTCTCTAAGTTCCTAAGATACTCTGTTATTCTCCAGCCCAGACACCTTAGGGCTCAGCGACCTATTCAGGCTTCACCTGTGACATAGGTGGAAATGATTGCAGAGTATTTGAAATTCACACGTAAAGCTAAAGGTTTAGATTAAATGTGTAGTGTGACTCTTCCATCAAGAAACATTTTACCTGAGTTTCTAATAATTAGCAAATCTTATTCTAATATTTCTGTACCACCAACCATATAGAAGAAGAAATTCATACTACCTAGTTCTTCTTTTTACTCTAGGTTTTTTTGGTTCTAGAGATGATAAAATTAGTGGAATCATCAAGAGAAAATATTGGGGTTTAGATAATGCACAAACTGATTTACAATGGGTTGTGGATTGTCACAAAGGATATAAAAAATGCTTTTCCAGGACTGTGATATAGGGAGACTTTTAATATAAGTCTCTGTGAACCCAGAGGAAATAAGAGCTATTTTCATTGCTCCTTAAGGATTTCCTTGCAGTATGTGAAAGTTCTTTATTTTCACCTCTGTGGCATTTGTTTTATATGTTATAAAGCTGTTATTGAATTCAGAAAATAAAATTGAATAAACTATTTTCAGATAGAATACAGCAGAGATAGTCACAAATACAAAGCTTGAACAGGTAGGTTTGGCTTTCCCTTCTTCTGAGAGCCCTGAAAAGCGTTTGGGAATTAAACATGCAGGTTTAGACTTCATTACTGCAACCTTGGTAGTGATCTGTTTTTATGTTACAGGCAATGAAAGCTTAGAAGAAAACTATGTCCAGGACAGTAAGATGGGGTTTGTCATCAACGCCATCTATGCCATGGCACATGGGCTACAAAACATGCACCATGCCCTCTGCCCTGGCCATGTGGGCCTCTGTGATGCCATGAAGCCCATCGATGGCAGCAAACTCCTGGACTTCCTCATCAAGTCCACGTTCATCGGTGTGTCTGGAGAGGAGGTGTGGTTTGATGAGAAAGGGGATGCTCCTGGAAGGTAAAGCAGTCTTTTCCATAATGGATCTAAATAACCCTGTGATCCTCTTTGAGCCAGACAGATGGATACTCTGGCTCCCTTTGGTTCCATGGTTTCTGGGTGCCACGACGATAGACGCAAACGAGGGTAGACACAAACGAGGATAGACGCAAACGAGGATAGACGCAACAAGATAGCTAAAAAGAAAGGGCTAATGTTAGATGGAAATTACATTATAAAACATTGAAGAACTTCTTATTGGTAAATACCCACAATCCTGCATCCTACCAGTGCCACCCCCCTACCTCCCCACACACACATACAGCTATCATCCCTGGTCTTCCCTTAGAATGCCTGGGACCTCCCTGCAAGCCCAAGATACTAAGGAGATTACACCTGACCAGCAGGATTCTCCCTGACACTGCCAACATCAGGTCAGCCTCCTTCTAACTGATTAGTCCCAATACTATACTGGTTGTGGAATATTTTAATATTATTCCTGCTTAAAGAGCTTAATATATGATGAGAACCAAGTCTTCATATGTATCCCTTTTTTTCAGGTTAACTTATGTTCCTGCTAACATGTTTCTTGGAACAAGAAAGAAAAGAATTTTCTGTCTGGTATTGAGTCTCTATGGCTTCCAAAGAATTAATCAAGAAGCAAAGTAAAATTAAATCTAACAAACTATATATATTTTTCCCAAGTCATTTTATATACAGTCTCTTCTGCAACACTTGCTTTTATAGTACCAGTTAGCTCATATGTAATTGGTATGCAGAGAATATCAGTATAAACAGTAGTTGTGTTCTTTCATAGGAATTTTCTTAGGCAAGGGATGATCAGAACAGTGGGATAAAACTTAAAACCTGCAACAGGAAAGAAAAAAGGCCCTCAGTCTGGCTACGGCACAGTGTGCCCACAATCTTTTTTGTTTTTCCTCCTAAGCCCTGTTATCTTTCCGTACATAATTTTGCAAAGTGAGAGATTTTAGAAAAGCATATGTTGTGATAAAACAGATCATCAAATCATTTAATCCTCATTGCTATAGGCATATCATTATCTTCTTTTACAGATGATAAAACTGAGTGTCAGAGAAATGAAGAAACTCACCTAAAGTCACGCAGAGAGTAGCTGGTAGAGGCAGTGCAGTCCAAATTGACACTTGTAATCTTTTTGCCACATCGTGCTGCCTTTTAGCTAATCCTAAAATTAGGCAAAGTTGCTGGCAACCTTCTTAATGTCATTTCAAATGTACTGTAAGAGACTATTTGACCCTAAATAATTCTTCACATATCTCTTCCTTTCATGTAAGCTTAAAGTTCTACGTTTAGAGAGTGCCTTGCGGGGCCTAAGTGCATTCTCCCTGTTAAAATCCAACAGCTCCAGGAAGGATAAATGCTATAAGTAATACTCAGCAATTAAAGTGATGAATTTATCAGATTCCTTCCAAGCTGCTACTGAGGTGGGAGCAGCTTTAGATGAAAATGAGAGTGGGAAGGATGGAATGATGCAGGGCCTGGGCGTGTGGAAAGCTTCCAGGAGCTGAGCACCTTAAGAAATGGTACCAGAGGAAAAAGTGATTCAGAGCACTGACCGCCCCCACCCCGCCCCCCTTTAAACCCGTGGTTGTAATCCTGGGTTCTACTGGAAACCAGGTTCTATCAAGGATTGGATTTGGCATGGAAACCTTCCTTCATGATTCTATAACATACACAATGTGCCTAAGACAGGGCCAGATGCATTTCCCACACAGCGTAGACATGAGTTTCCTCCTCCTCTCTCTATTTGTAAACTATCCAAAATATAGGCCCACAGTTTTAGCTTGTTTCTCCTTCATCTTTAATTCCGTATTTAAATCAAGAGTTTTCCCCTGGGTCCCTTTTCAAGGATCATTTCCACAGGCTTGAAATTGGTCAGCTTCATCTGTATTCAATTTCTATTTCAACCACTTCCCTCTGTTTCTATCTCCTGTCACACCGTCATTCATGCTTTTGGTCCCTCTTGTAATTATCTTAGTTAATCATCATGCAACATAGATTGAGTGCATTGAAAGGATGCTGTAAAGTTGTAATTCACAGTGTGAGGATATTCCAAATAACCGCCAACGTGCGAGAAGGGGCTCTGGGGTCAAGAGAAAAGGGCGGTGTTCCTTTACACACACCACTGGGGAAGGCCTCTTTTTAGTAAGTCAGTATTTTTCCCTTGGTATCTTCAAGCATTTTTTTTTTCTCCAGCTTTTGGGACTTTTGAAAAGTATGTTTTCATACCAAAATATTGTGAATTTTTCAGTTCCTAAATGCTAATTAAGCGTGAACTGATTTCTCCTATTGAAATGAGGAAGTTGAAATAAAAGTCTTAGGAAACTGATTTATAGGAAAAAGATATTCTAAAGCTCGCATTACACCTAAGCCTGCACTGCAAGTATGTAAGAAGATTTCACAATGTAATATGGAGTAAAACATAAAGATTAAAGGAAATGAAAAAGGGAATTATTCATACCAAACACAGCAGGCTCTGTAACCATAAGGACCTTACAATGGGAAAATATTGCAGGTGTAGATTAGTGTCCTTGATCAGCAAGATGAATGCGAGCCACCAGCCCACAGTTAATACCCACGTGGATATCACTCAGAGAGCTACTCTGAGAACATTCTGGTTTGTCTCAGCAGCCAGAGGAATGAGAACCCTCTATTAACCAAAAATCAGAAAGCAGAGAGGTGAATAACGTGCTCCAGTTGCACCATTCTCTCTTCTCACTCCATGTAAGTTTTGTTCACCTGGAAAAGTAGGGGAAAGACTTCCTTTATGCCCCGAGAGTCCCCTTTCCCTTTAGGGAGCTGCTACTTCTAGAAATTGCCAGAATCTGATTGTGGAGAAGCCACTAGCCATCCTGTGGGTGACAGGATGCATTTGCACATTAAGAACAGGCAGCAAAGCTATTAAAAGATATTAGTTGTCTAGATAAAGAACTAGGCCAGATATGGCCAATAGGTTTCAGATGCCAGCTAAGGTTGATTGGTAGTAGCTTCCTGGAGTGCTGGGCTGAGGAGGATTCTGAGTCTGTATCAGGTTTAGAGGGAAAGAATTCCGAGATGGGTTAGGTAGGGATATTAGGGAGGGGAGGAAGAGAGCTGAGGAAGAGGAATGTGTGTTAGTTAATTGCCATCTATTTCTTTGGGTCACCCACAGAGAGTAAGAGATATTGTCTCATATTCTAGTGCAGGAGAGTGAAGAATGCACAGGTACTGCAGGAAAGAACCCCACTTTGCAGAGCCACTGAGGGAGAGTCAGGCATCCATTTTTGGGCAACTGCCACTTGAGTTATAGTTTCCTTGGAGTAAATAGCAACATGGAAAGGAGGTTAAAGAATACCAGAGAACTGTCAAAAAACCGAGAGAGAAATGACTATGACAACACAAAGATGTTCTCATTTTCTTATAGTATGGAAATAACCAGAGTGTTTTAGCACATTAATAGTGCTACTAATGTGAATGATATAGTGATATTGCCTTACATATGTATTTCTCCCAATTGCAAACAGCCTTATGTTAGTAAATTCCCACAAGAACCCCATGAGCCTTTACAGAGTTTAGTGACATTCCTAAGTAGTATAATCTACTATTAAAACATTAGGAAAGAGATTCCAGCTTATACATTCTAATGTCAAATGCTGTGTTTTTTCCACCAAATTGGAAAATGCTCTCCACTGCCCACACTGGGAAATGATGTATCTGGTCCCCAGAACACACTCTGGCTACAGTGAAGATTTCTAAATGTAGATTTTACCATTGTGCAGCATTGCAGCATTTGAAATAACTGAAATAACTGACACCAATTACTTGGATTCAGAAATGTTTGTCCTGATCAAGGAAGAGACCAGTTTAAATGTCAATGCTCAAGATGTTAAATTCCAAACATCCTTGCTAATTAAAGGTGCATTTCTCGGATTTCGTGCTCTATTAGCACCTAAAATAAGTTCCAGACTTGGTAAAACTCACCTCTTTTAATCCAGTGTAATTAAAATGGCAACTGAATGTGAAAAAGGAATTTGGAATAAAAGTACTTAAGCTAAAAATTAGTGTTCTGAAGAATTGTTACTTGATCAAAGAATAATCTAGTGAATAATGATTTGAAGGATATGGTGATGGACTCAGCACATATAGAATTTTTTTGAGAATAAGCAGAGAGAAAAGTACAAGAATAATATATTCTTTAATGAATATGGATGATACACAGAGACTGAAGAATGGAATATACATTTTGGAAAATCAGAGGATACATAACTAAATAAACTAAAATATTGACAGTAGCTGGCATTAGGACATGGGATGATTCTAACTTTTCTCTTTCTTCTCTCTATTATTACCTATTTACCAAATTCCTTTGGTTTCTACATCATGTCCATATTCTCCAAGACACACATGTTGTTTTCTTTGTAGGTATGATATCATGAATCTGCAGTACACTGAAGCTAATCGCTATGACTATGTACATGTTGGAACTTGGCATGAAGGGGTGTTGAACATTGATGATTACAAAATCCAAATGAACAAGAGTGGAATGGTACGGTCTGTGTGCAGTGAGCCTTGCTTAAAGGGTCAAATTAAGGTAAGCCAGCCACACATGCATTCTTGGATGGTGTCCATGAGGAGACCTCCTGCCTGGGCATAAGCAAAGAAAAACACAGACATTTTTCTTTGACCAGACTGTCCAGAAAGGGTGCACCAGGCATACTGTTTCTGTTCTTGTGTTTAGCAAAAATGAGGAAGACAAAGAAAGATTGGGAAATGGAATAGGCAAACCACTGGGATATTTAGAATAGTCTTTATTTGAATCGTAATGATGAGCTGCAATCTTAAATACGATATAGAAAGCAAGGGGATGAATAATCAAATTAAAAATTAAGACAGAAGTAAACGTGGAAACCAAAGCCAATGATACTGCATACTCATAGTTCTAGCTATTGTTAAAGAAAGCAGAAGCTGAACGATGCCAAATAAATGTATAACTAAAATAAAAGAAGCTGAAATGAGGTAACACAAAAGGATTGCTTACCACTTCTCTTTTCTCTACTAAGTTCTTTGAATTTTCCTGAAAATGGTATTTTCCAGCCAAGAGAGAGTCTTCACTTCTAATTATTCCCAGAAGTTTTTTTTTTTTTTTTTTTTTTCCAGGTTGGGGCAAGTGAGTGATCATGATATTACTATATATTTAAAACTAGAGTAAATAAACCTCATATACTGGGCATTTGGCTGAATGGAGTAGAGAGAATTCTTGGTGAAGAAGACATAGAAAGAGCACTCTCTGAATCCCACGCTATTTAAAAACCAGATTGGCTGACGCACTAGGAAATGGAGCGTAGGGGAGTGATTGTGAACTGGCAGGAGTGTGGATTAAATGACCTAATAGGTCTTTCCCATCTCTAATTTTCTGTGACTCATCTCTGGGAGCAGACAAGCCGTCAAGTAAATGTCACAAGGCACAGCTGGGGCTGGAATGTATACGGTGTGAGGCTTCTGCTCTCTCGCCACGTGGCCACGCTGCTATGCCATTCGCAGGAGCCGTAGTACCAGCCATGCGAGGGAGAGGCCCTGAGAAGTATACTTAGGGGCCTTTAGGGCAAGAGTCTAGTAGTGCTGGTATAGCAGCTGGAAAAGCTTTATCACTGCTGATCAAAGAATGTGGAGGATCTGGAACCTGCAACATCTTTTAGCAGCTGAGAAGAGCTGTCTGGGTGGACTCAAACTCTCAGTAGAATCCGTCACTTTGACTGTGAAAAAAACTTCTGAGGCAACTCACCCTAGTTGCAGATGTCACTGCCTTCTCTGCAGATGTGATATTAAAAATATTTAATAATTGTCACGATAACCAACCAATCAGAATGAACTCCATTTTAGTGCTATGACAGGGTGCTGGAGGCCTCCTGCTATGCCCACTGTTAATCCTTGAGTTGTTGGATCATGGGAAGACTTAGGTGAGGAATCTTACATGGATAGGGTAGCATGGGGCAATCAGGGGGCTTGGAGAGACACCATTAGTTTCCAGCCAGTACAGAAGCATTTCAGTAGTGTAAGAATGACTCCAGCCAAACCATTGTGTACAGGACGTATGTCAGTGCTGCTTCTCCCCCAAGAATCCATTTCTGATTCTTATCCAGATGGAATTTTTCACATGGGGCTGTCTGGTGGTATTAGGAATATATCCTCTGAAGTTGAGAGGCCTAAAACTTCTCCTTGACTCTTACCACAGGATGCCAGACCACTGGATTCTGGGTTGGTTATCTTCTCTGGATGGTAGGGAAAACCAGGGAGACCTGAAGTCATATGATTGGGACAGCCCAGAAGCCCTGGGCTTTATGCTCTCCTGTGACCCAAAGGGTGTCACATGTTCATCTCAGACCTCCTCCCCAGCATGGGTGGCAGCATTGAATCTTTAGTGCAGACAACTGCTGTGAAAAAGTTTATGAAACTACACAGTTTGGTTATTCAGAGTATAAGAAAAACAAACAAACAAACAAACAAACAAATACAACCCTGGCAAGAGAAAACAAATCAATCTAAAGATACTCTGCACTCCAGTTCCCTTTCAGACTTCCCTCCTGTTACTCTGACTGCTGGCAGGCCATGAATGGGAGCTCACATGCCATGTGTAGTCCCATTTGTATACTCCAGAAGATAGACTTTCCCCCCACCCCCAAGTTCAGAGGAAAGGCTGTCTGCATGCATCTTTAAGCTAGATACTGAAGTATTTCTGGCATCACATTTGCATTACACCCATGCAGTGTTATCGAAGGAGATCCCAGAAATCTTTGCTGAGCCATTACAGAGCACTTGCTATAAATGCAAATCTCTTGGGGTCCAATTTTCATAGTATTGTATACCCTGCAGGATAAAAGTATGCCCGTTCTCAATAGCACCTGGAGTGGAGGTGAGGGGGGATGTTTGTTTGTTTCCCATAAGCACCATGGGAGGTATGGAAACGAATAAAATCTGAATCCCATTTACCAAATAATAGCATTTATATTCTTACATCGTCAATTTGCCATCTACCAAGTTCAGGATGCAGAGCCAGGTCTCTCAGTAGCCACTACAGAGACTGGAGGGAAGCAACTTAAAAGGTGATTGTAGGACTTGCACTTGTATTAACTGAGAAACATAACCTTTAGGAAAGGGTTATTCACTTTAAATATCAAATGCCACTTAAAATGTTGAAATAACCATTTGACTTCTTTTGTGATAACCCATAAAACTGTCTTATGGTAATTTCCTTTGAAGTAGTTAAAAGTCCAGTTTTCTTATGTTATTGATTTTAGAAATATGAATATAATATCCTATAAATATAATATTTTATGGAGGAGAAATTGATTTCAGTCATACCACAGTGGTAAATAAAATCAAACTTCTATCGTTCTGTCTTATATTAGTCAGGTTTCAGTCAGGAAAGAAAGAACCCATGCCAGGTGGTTCAACAGAGGAAATTTAAGGTAAAAAACTGGTTATAAAAGTAAAAGGGGGGCTTCCCTGGTGGCGCAGTGGCTGAGAGTCCGCCTGCCGATGCAGGGGACGCGGGTTCGTGCCCCGGTCCGGGAAGATCCCACATGCCGCGGAGCGGCTGGGCCCGTGAGCCATGGCCGCTGAGCCTGCGCGTCCGGAGCCTGTGCTCCGCAACGGGAGAGGCCACAACAGCGAGAGGCCCGCGTACCGCAAAAAAAAAAAAATGAAAGGAAAAAAATAAAAAGTAAAAGGGGGCAATGAGGCAACTCAGAGATGAGCAACAGTAGGAATCATTCCCACCTCTGGGCTAGAGGGACACAGGGAAGGTCACAGATACTACCTGAGACACCTCCTGAGGTGGGAGGGGAGCTTACCTTGATACGAGGCTTCTCCTCTCTCCGGCTCTTCAGTCTCCCATTAGGTCCTTACATTCTGCCAACCGTATGGAGAAGACGCTGGAAAGAGAGCCTGAGCAATGTAGTGCGCAGATACTTAGTTCAGGTTCCCTTGAACCCTGAAAGCTAAGCAAGGTTAAGTGCTAATGCATTACTGGGAGATACAATCCCAGGGAAGCAAGAGTGAGAGGAAAAGGGAAGGGAGGCATAGAAGCATGGCGGAACACCTCTACCACTAAGGTGAAGCGTCACTGAGCAGGACGCTGCCTCACTGAGCACAGCTCAGCCTCACGGAGGTCTCTGGACAGGCTGCTCGGGCTGTCTGTTGGAGCAAGGAAGGGAGAAAAATGTACACACTCCTGCCATTCTGTTTTCTGCTTCCTGTGGTCAGCGTTTGCTCACAGGAAGTGACGTCATCTGACCCCTTTAGGCAGCTGCTGGGGAAGCCAGTGTCCATGTCCTGCTATGTGGACCTTCTTTGAATTTGGAAGCAGCAGGGGGAGAAGTCTCTGTGGGTCTTACACAGTCTGGTCTGGGCTCCTGCTGTGCTGAATTACCAAGGAGGCAGTTCTAGAACCCAGTGCCTCCTCCAGGGGAGAGAGAGTCACCTGGACATGCCAGAAGATGACACAGTAGTGGTAGGCTCTGAGGTAGGAGTTGCAGAAGCATCCAGAACCCTCAAGATCCAGGGGCCAAGGGCCTAAGAGACAGGTCAGGCAAAAAGAATTTGAGGCTGCACGTAAAATATGGACAATGGATCTGCAAGCAAACAGCAAGGGCCTGGCACTTGTATTCGTCTCCCACACCTAGCCCGCTGCTATTTTCCTTGGTGTGGGGAAGGCAGGAAGGCGGTAAGAAGGGGTGGGAAGGCAACGGGGAGAAAGTGAAAGAAAGGAGAAGGGAGGCAATAGAGATCGGGAACTAACATTTATCAAGCATATTCTTGTGCAAGTACAAGAATGGATGCCATCGTTTCAATTATTCCTTAAAACAGCCCTTTTAAAGCAGATATTATCACCCCATTTTATAGGTGAGAAGTCAGAGGCCCAGAGGGCTTGAATCACTTGCCCCAAGCTTTCTCAGCTAGTGGTTAAGAAATGCCGAGCTGAGCTTGGAGCCAATCCAAAGCTCTTATCAACCCACAGCCACATGTTGTTCACCCATCTTTCATTATATGAACTGGCATATTTCCTACAAACGCAAGTTTCAATTGCTAAAGCTGATTTTCTTAATAGTTTACAACAAAATTATAAATAGAGATCCACTTTGAAATTGCTGAGGGAACAGAATCTAGAATTAAGCAGGCAATAAATATTAGTGAAGGTGGTCGGGAGAGTCTGACAGAGATGGGGAAACCGGCAGAGAATCCCAGGTCCTGGGGATTGCTTTCATTCACCTCCTATTCTTTCTTTTCCCCTCTCTTCTCTTCTAGTGTTTTCTTCTGTGTAGTTCGTTTTTGGATTCTTTACTCCAAGGTGATGGTTTGAGTCTGGGAGTTTAGGCCTGGAAAGCAAAAATCACTACTCCCCCCCTTCTCACCTGGCCTATCAAGATAGAATTATGGAGACCATATCATAAATGGCTCTTCATTATACATGCCATATTGTCATGTAGTAAAATACACCCTATATATGTGGAGAAAAACCCAGATACACATATTTTTACAAACTGTATATTTCAGAATTGGGTTAACTATGTTTTCCCTGAACCATCTGAACTG